ATTTGATTCCATCCGTATTTCCTGCTCCCAGACCTCACCCTGCAATACAGGCTAGGCTCTCAGATGCTGATAGAAGGTGCAATGATGTATATCAACTTACATCATCAGTTCAGTTCAGAAGCTTTTACCGTAAGTTGAGCTGTGACCACACCGACACTGAAAACTTCACCCGTCACGTCATCTTTAGCTGCACATGCTGCAGAACAGGAATCTCCACCAGCTGGGTAGAGGCAGGGAGCAGGCAGCAGCGTGTGACATATGGGTATGGAACTCAAAAGTTTTATTGCATTCAAAGCGTGTTATTCTCCTGATAAAATAGGGGCAGATGTTTTCTATCTCCATGCACCGGAATGCAAAGAGGGAGGAAGAACGCACTTCACCTCAAGAGATTTTCAGGCTTTGCTCAGAAGAGCTGCCCGGAGAATAGAAAAGCCTTCGTAAGAGGAACAGGGCGAATAGCTGAGCATTTTTATGAGCACTAGACCAGAGAAAAGAACTGGCAGGGAATCTGTGTGCTTACAAAAGCATGTGTATCCGCATTCCTCCACTGGAAGCAGAAGTACTAAATGGCCTCAATGTGCACACAGTCATCTCCGCAGAGCAAGAAACAGAGAGAGGTTAAAAGACTCTGTGCTCTTCTATAAAAGGGTTATTACATTGAGACGATGCACGCACAGGGTAGTTAATTTGAATTTAGGCAGGGATGAATGTCACCTTCCAGCATCTTACACCCAGAGAAAGGCCTCCCCATTCCGATTCAATTTACTCCCACTTCTAATGTTGATTCAACTCAGTTAGATGAAGCATTCCTCTTCCAGTCTGGCAGCTATTCCAGAGATGTTCTTCAAAGAGGGAAGTTTATGGAGTAAATGACCAGCTTAATGCTTTTGAAATAATTTACTGGGCCAAAGCGTGCCTGGTGTTTTGCAGTTATGATGCAGAGAGGTAAAACCTGTTGAATAAAAAAATCCCCCCTGCTAGTGCTAGGTCAAGTAATGTACAATGATCTGTGTCTTTAGCTACCTTTTTAATCCTGAACAACAGTGGCTGGGAAACAAAATGTTTATTCTATTGGTTAAACATTTAAAAAGCCATTTATTGCATCCTTTTGTGAATCTTACTAGGTTTTACTCTTCCAAATTGCAAAGGACATTACATTTCTATGCAGAACAGTAAATATGCAAACACATAGTAACCGTGCCATATGGGCTTTATGCAACAGCAAAGCAGACGTGGCAGTGATTTTATGAAGTTCTTGTGGCTCAAATACTTCATCTCTAAGTAACAGATCTGTCCTGGAGACTTAGCAAGAATATGTTTCCTTTGCTATCAACCCAAAGGGATAACCCTGAAAATGGAGTGTCTGAACCTTCAAACTGCAAATTAAGGTCTGCAAAATAGGAATTGTGGCACCTGGAAATCCCTCTTTGACGATTAGGAGTCATTTCACATGCCCTTCCCCGCCCCCCCCCAGCAAATGCACAAAATTTAGGGTTTTAAACAGAAATACAGGAAATCCTTTATACCAGTTTTAAAAGGATTCCCGCTTTAATATGTTCAAATGAAAAAATTAGATTTTTGGCACTGCTGCATCCATGCAGACTCACAAGTACTAGAAAGTAGCCCTTCACTCAGCTCAGTGTTACACAGGTTTAAAGGGGAAATCAAACAAAAGCATTTTTGTTACAATAAAAATGTAATTAGGCCTCACATATTTGCTGTACGTAATTTTTACTTTTTGTGTTTCTAATACCAGCTCATTGACCTGCAAGGCAGAGGAAGACTACAGAGCTCATCACTGTTTTCTTATGGATCGGATATTTGCAAGTTGAATCATTCACTAACACTTAAACGATATTTCAGTAAATGATGCAGCAAATGGGGACATGGGAGATACATAATGTAGCAAGAGACAGAATTTGCATCCTAGTTATTTGCATCCTAGACCCATATAGAGAGCGGTGCATATGCTGAGCTTTTCACGCTCCTGTTGCCATTAGGAGCATTACATCATGCAGAAGTTTAAATCTCCACTATAAAACCCAGACTTGCCCACAGAAGAAAAAGAGATGCTGGGCCACAGACACTAAGGTTCTTAGTGCTAAATCAAGGCGTGATTCTGATCGCAGTGCCACCTAAAAAAAATAGGGTTGAATAAAGAACCTTTAATATAAAAGCAAATCAGTTTCTAGTCCATTAGAAGGAAAAAATTATCTATGACTAGGAATGCAGGAATCTCAGAGCACCTTGGTTAATCAGATAGCATTTACTTTTTAAAAAAATAAAACAAGTAATTGCTGTTCAACCAGAGCAGTCTGCTCAGGGTAGTTAAAGTCCCTATTATTGCACTTGTATTTTCACCTGGACCAGGTGGGCAGGGTGCGGAATGACTTCGGATTCTTCCAAGGATGAAAGAATCACAAAACATAGTATTACTTGCACCCGTGTTTGGTGCCTCTTCTGTTTTACTCACAGTGAGGAAACCACCACCACCAGAGACACGTAACCAAACGCTCTACTTCTCAACACAAGCGGATGGTCTCCGGTGAAGGGTGGCACACGAGAAGGCTTCTGCCGTTCAGGTGTTGCTTCCTCTGTTAGCAAAGCTCCAACACAAGACAGTTGGGAACATCTCCTGCCATTCTCCTTCCTCTGTAGGCACCCACCGGTTAGCTCTCCACGCACGCCTCCGAGGGTGGCACATACTGTTCCCTCCCGGGGCTGCTGAATTCCCGTCTTCTCAAAGGCATGTTTGCAGAGAACCCAAGTTCTCCAGTAAACAGCGGCTGGGCTGACTTTTAGGGAAAATGCAACAGAAAAAGAAGTAGTGTTTGAGTGCTACAACTCTGTAACTGGTTTTGGGTTTACCCACCTGCGTAATTAAACGTCTCAGGTCTGAGCAGACACGGACAGCAGATTTGGGCCCCCAGGAGAAATAGCATGAGAACAATGTTAGCGAGTCTGCATATTTTAACAGCTTAGGAAGGTCGTTTCATTCTTGTACCCGACTTCCACTACTCTTCAATATTGGTCAAGAAATTTCATGTGGTTTTTCTTCTACAAAGCTTAATTTGTACAGCTGGCTATTTTTAAATAGCACATACTTCTGCATGGCAAGAAAGGAAATTAAGGAAGAAAATCAGCCCATAACGTTCTTCTCTGTCTGGTTAATAGGCTCCACATGTATTACTTCATTACAGATAATTCGAACACGTAATTCAGCAGGTTATACTGTCAATGCATCCTGCCACTCTGCCAGAGACAGCGGCCCAAATACCCTGCAGGCAGCCGATGGCAGCAGGGTATCTCCCGGGGAGCAGATCCACCCGACGGAGGGTGGGGAAAGGCAAGCAGGAGCTGTTTGAGAAACCAGGAATCATCTGCCAGGAAAAGCTACTAAGGAAACGGTGAGGGAAGGCAACTAAGGCTGAGGGGAAAGCGAAGCCCAGGCTGGGCAGCACCCATAGCCCTCCAGCAGAAGATGGGACGAGGGGCAATGTATCATCTGCAGATGGTGACCCTTGCAGGTGGTTGGCAACTCAACCACCACAACACCCGCTTCTGGGTCTCACTACTGATGTCCCCAAGTGTTATTTTGCCATGCAAAATTCCTTCTTTAACACACCCCACTGAAACAAACCCAATCGTTACTAGCCTCAAACTGCTTCAGCTATGAGTCCAACTTAACCCAAGTCACGTTTTCAGCTCCCAGACGCTACCTGCACACGAAAGCTGCTAAATAAGACCAGCTGCTTTGGGAGCAGCCTTGGTGACTCACGCCTTGATTGACTTTCCGATGATGCAGAGTCAGCAGCTGGGCACGGTGCGAGGCGCGGAGGAGAGGTGCAGCGGGGTCCTGCAGCAGCTCGGCTGGAGATACACAGACTGGCTGCGTCCATGCAGCCGTGCCGCCCTGCTCTCAAACACGCTCTGCATTTCCAAGTACGCTAAATTTATGCCTGTGCTGTGCAGCTGATGATTGTACGTCAAGCCTGTTCATGCGAAACACGCAATGTTATATTAAGCACAGCTAATGAATACAGGGCCTAAAAAGCTAGAGGAAAGAAAATCTTCTGTAACCACATCAAGCAATTAATACATCCTTTCCTCTTCCACAATGCGCTATTTTTTGCAATGCATTATTGAAGATGACATGCAAAAAAGCGCAAGGAGCAAGGTCCCAAATTCCTCCACTGGCTTTGCACTTTCAGGCTCTGCTCTGAGTAGGCAGACAAGGAGAAAGTAATTGGTGATAGACGCGGAGCTAGAGTAGGCAGAGCAAAAAGCATCAGTAAAACACTGAAAAAAAAACCCTCACAAAGTGAAGCTGGGAATTTGGATCTCTTGGAAGGCTGCAGAGGATGGTGATGGCTTTTTGAATTTGTCCATTTGGCTTCTGGGATGAATATTTTGATCTTCTGGTCATTACTTGAATCCTGATTTATCTTGCACAGTATCAAGACCTTGCAGTTAAACACTCACACAATACACCCAGAGAAACAGACTTTCTATTTCTAATGAGTAAGAGGCTTTGCATGTCTACACCATGACTGAAAGGACACTTTTTAGAACATCAGCCAGCAGCAAGGTGTTTGTCTAGGCATAGCCAGCAATATTAAGTATTTTTCCATTTTGTTGCTGTGATATAGGCTAGGACAAACACAAACATCTGCCTGACCCACAACTGAAAACTCAGTTAGCAGGTCACCAGCAGTGGTGGTGAAACTGCACCTCAGTCTCTACCTGGCAAAGGGACATTTCTCTTCCAGAGGACAGAAATGCCTGCCCTAAAATTTCCAGGCCATTAATAAAAATCTGCATGAAACCTAAAGGCCTCTGCTGGACCAGGTGGTCTTGCCATATCTTTCCGACTCTTTCTCTGAAATCTACTGCTTTAACGTACACCACTTAACGTTACCTTTCACCGGGTCTTCACACAGACTTGTTAAACAGAACCTTTTCTCTTCTCTCTTTATGCAGCCTGAGCAAAAGACGTGGCCATGTTTGCCCACCGCACCGATAACAGTAGTGGCCCTTGGCTGCTCCCTACCTTCTGGCTCCTGCTGCAGAACAAGAGCTACCCCGAAACCTCCATCCCCGCTGCTGGCTACGAGGTGACGGAGTCATCCCTAGGACCCAGCTCAGCCGGGAACCACACCGTCTTGCAGCATGAGCTCAGGCCGGGCGAAATCGCAGCAGCCGGCACGGTTTTGGGAGCGTTGTGGCTGGTTTCCGTCTTGGGAAACTCCCTCGTTTGCTTAGTGATCCACAGGAGCAGGAGGACACAATCCACCACCAACTATTTTGTTGTCTCCATGGCTTGCGCAGACCTTCTCCTCAGCGTCGCAAGCGTGCCATTCGCGCTGCTCCAGTTGACCTTCGGCAGGTGGACGCTGGGGAACATGATGTGCAAGCTGGTCAGGTACGTACAGTACCTCACCCCTGGCGTCCAGATATTCGTGCTCCTCTCCATATGCGTGGATCGATTCTACACTATCGTCTACCCCCTGAGCTTCAAAGTGTCGAGGGAGAAAGCCAAGAAAATGATTCTGGCCTCTTGGCTATTGAACGCTCTCTTGGCAGCACCAGTTTTCTTCTTCTACAGCTCCAACAGCGACGACCACTGCAACTTCTTTCTCCCCAGTTCTTGGCAAGGAGCCCTCTACGGTATCATCCACCTCTTGGGGGTGTTTCTGATCCCGTCCATCCTCATGATCCTCCTCTACCAGAAGGTCGTCAGGTACATTTGGAGAATAGGCACCGACGGCAGGACTGTCAGGAGGACAATGAATGTTGTCCCAAGAACAAAGGTGAAAACCATCAAGATGTTCTTAATGTTAAACTTGGTCTTTCTCCTCTCCTGGCTCCCTTTTTACGTGGTACAGCTGTGGTACCCGCCAGAAACAGACTACAGAACGAGCTCCTTGGTTTTCCTGGCCATCACCTGGATCTCTTTCAGTTCTTCAGCCTCTAAGCCAACCCTCTACTCCGTGTACAACGCAAACTTCAGAAGAGGGATGAAAGAGACTTTTTGTATGTCCGCCATGAAATGCTACAGAAGCAACGCGTACACCATCACCACCAGTTCCAGGCTGGCCAAAAAAAATCACGTTGGGATTGCAGATACCCCAGCTCCGGCCAAAACCGTCACCAAAGACTCCATCTATGATGCATTTAACAGAGAAGCAAAGGAAAAAAAGCTTGCCTGGCCTATTCAGTCCAATCCCCCAAATACGTTTGTCTAGTTGGCTTCATTGCTTTGAAAAATTACTATGTACCCCCAGAACAAGGAGCTCGATCTTGGTTTTGAACCAACATGTAGATAATTTTGTACATATTTTTAACACAGCTTTTAGGGAAGAAAAAAAGATGTTTTATTTTATTAAATGCCTTGATTTTGATGTGTCCAGTCTATTTCATTTCAGTTACATTCTGCTTTTTGGGACCACTCTCAGTGAGTCACGAGCATTACTTTCTTACAAAAGAGACAAGTTCTTGCGCTCTTTTTATGTAAGGGAAAAAAGGGAAAGAAAAAACACTTCTTTTTTTAATCCCTGCATGTTGCCCACAGTGTATTAGTGCATAAATCCACCCAAAGCCATCTATACTTTCTGAAACAGACAACTTTTTTTTTTTTTTTCAGATATCAACCTCAATAAGAAATGGACTGAGCGTGTGTGTGTGTGTAACATTGATTTATTTTCTTAATTCCCATAGTATTGCTCAGAAATACAGTAGCATGCCCTCAGAAAAAACAGATAACTATTTAGCCACAAAATGAAGTCAGCACTAGCGTCCGGTTGGTTAACACCTGTCAGTCTGCTGGATCAATGTACTCCCGTGAGCTGGAGCCACGGAAGGTCCAGCCCAGGCTGCTGCACCCCTTGTCCATGAAGGTTTCCTTTTTGTCATCTTACAACATCGACAGGAGAGTCCTGCAAGGTTCAGGACAGAGGTCTGTCCATCCCAGTATGCTATCGTTGACCGTAGCCATCAGCGGGTGTTTGAGGATAAAGCGTAGGAAGCAGGAAAGCTAAGAGAGGTCTCCTCCTTCCAGCCCTGCAGTCGCTGCTAAGAATTAACACCCTTTACAGGCTAGCTGCCAAAAGTGGTGCCATTTGGTAAATTCAGAGCAGGTCCAGAATGAGTTTAGTCACAAAGACAGCACAGGCAGCCCCATCCTGCTTATTCAGACCCCATCTGGCAGATTTCAGGATAGTTTTGCCTCAGAATCAAGGATTTGACCTCTTTTCAGTTGAAGATCTCAAGCACTTTCTTCATATTCTTTATTTTCTTCTCAACTAGCTCTGACAACGTCAGTAGATGGTGAACAGTTCATCCTCACCCATTCTCTCTCTGTGCCAGTCTTGGGTTTGTAAACCTCTATCACATATTCTCTCAGTTATTTCTTTTCCGTACTGAAGAGTCTCATTTACTCAGTCATTTCTTTAGGTTGGATATTAGGGAGAACTTCTTCATTGTAAGAGTCGTTAGGCATTGGAACGGGCTCCCCAGGGAGGTGGTGGACTCACCATCCCTGGAGGTGTTCAAAAAACATTTAGATGTGGCGCTTCAAGTCATGGTTTACTGGTTTTAGCGGGCACAGTGGCATTGGGTATATGGTTGGACTTGATGATCTTTGAGGTCTCTTCCAACTATGATGATTCTATGATTCTATGATTCTTGCACAGAACCAGCTCCAGACCAAGCTCTCCTTGGAGCACCCTAATGCAGCAGCCAAGGCATGGCCAAGCAACCTCAAGTCCAGACTACCAGTAGGTATTTGACACTCAAGTCATCCTAAAAGCATTGTGGACACTTTGATCCCAGGTGTTAAAACTACGCAACAGATGACAGTGTGCAGGTGTCAGCTATCCCTCCACATACTGCTATTTCAAAATCTCAAGCTCCTCACTGTATGTTTGAAAGAGACATCCTCAGCCACGACCTTCTCTGAGAAGGCTTATCTTCTTCTTCTGCTTTCAGAGCAAAGGTGGCACAGCTGGGTTCCTGCTCGTGCCTGGGGCCTGAAAGTGCTGCAGTGATGAAAGTTAATAGAACAAGAGCAGCAAGTACTACAGGGTGTATTAAACACGCTTGAGTATCTCCCTTTCCTGTCAGCAGGGAGTGGAAGCACACGTGTGGTGGAGCCCCACGCTGACATCCTCTGAAAAGACTCTCATGCTGGCAATGTGGGTGGGGAAACTCCTGTGTTGAGAAATATTCCTGCATGTATGGCAGAAAACTTCCTTCCTCCTCCTCTACCACACAAAATATGGTTGTAAGAAGCCTTCCTGACTGCAGGAATGCTTCCAGTATGTATTTCACAAATTCAGAAATCCCCATTAAATAAGGATCTGATATTTCTCATTAAAGCCATTAGCAAAAATTCCCGTGAATTGGGAGGCGAGAAGACCTTGAAAATGAGACAAGACCGATATTTTCTGTGTGGTTCATGTTCTGAGCAGGTTGTTTCCCCTGAAACATCACTGTATGTTTAATTTTTCTTTGCCATTTAATTATCTCTGACATGGTAAAATCAGATCTAGGGTAAGCAGGCCAGGTCAACTTTGCACTGTTATTTTTAACATTAGGTTGCAAGACTGAAACCCAACAGTTGGTTCTTTGGTTAGTAGTTTTATTAAAGAAACAGGACTGAACAGAATGAGCCCTGAGGTCACTGAGGACCACAGGGTCATGGTTACCCAATTCCCACCAGGTCTGAGACTAGAGGAACCCAGGACACGTGTTCCTTCGAGTCTACATGAATGGGAGTGCATGAGGCAGCCTTGTTATCTGGGTATCATCATGGCCAGGCCAGCCCATAACAGTCACTGTCCTGTCGAGGTGTATCCAGAGAGGCTGTAGGCAGTGAGTCCTCGTACAGTCGAACCCCAAAGATGTTCCAGTGGATGTTGCCTGTGTACAGCCAGTTTCCAGCCTGCAGATGAGGAGCAGGCCTCAGACCATTACAGATCCCGAAGGAAAATACCGCTGTAGCCACCACATGCAGCATCTGCTGTCTTCAGACATGCTCCATTGCTGAAAAGGAAGGAGGGGAGAGGCAGTCTACCCCTCAGGCCCCAGCACCACATTGCAGACCTGCAGGCATTTCACATACAAAGCCCCAAGAACACACCAGCGGGTATGAAACCACAGACTTGCGTGTAACTTTCCCCTCTTGTGAACTCAGCCGTGTTTCCTCACCTCCCAGAAGCTGTAAAACTACACAAGCTGGCCAGGAAAAGTCTGAGACTACCATGACAGAATCACAGAATCACAGAATCGATTTGGTTAGAAGAGACCTCCGAGGTCATCGTGTCCAACCTTTGCCCAACACCACCACGTCAACTAGACGATAGCACTAAGTGCCACCTCCAGTCTTTTCTTAAACACCTCCAGGGGTGGTGACTCCACCATGACACAACAGGTACGGTCACAATGTCCCCGGGTTGAAAGAGTTGGCAGACCTGCCCTGAAATCATGGCCCTAACTAGCCCTGCGACCATGAGTGAAGTCTGGAAGTTGGCTTTCTTAAACCAGCTTTCTGTATTAGTAAAAGCCCAGTCACAGTTGTATCAGAGTAAGTATGACCCTGCTTGCACAGCTTCTTTTAGCCAAAACTATACTGGTAAAACCACATTCTCACTAAAATAAGCTGTGTTTGAACTTGGAGGAATTTGCCTGTGGACAGAGCCCAAGAGCTCCAGCCCTTCAGATGACACCCAACCACTGGCAGTTTGGCGTCACCGTTGTGAGAGCTGAAGAAGACACCATGTTATAGAAGTGGTGAAGATGGAAAATATCTGGCAGCTTGACAGTTGAAAATGGCAGCTACTCCATGCTTAGGGTTGACTTTGGAAACCTGTAATGAAATGGATGGAGGCTGACAAATGCTGACCTGGTGCCAGAGCAAGGAGAAATCTTTTCCACTCCTGCCATCATTTTAGGAGAGGTGATGGATGGGTATGATAGCATCAACTGCCAGGTACCTCCTGGTCTGCCAAGGCCCCAGTGATGCCAGAGACTCAGAAGGAAGACCATGGATTATCTAAGCAAGCAACGGAAAATGCTGCAGGATTTGTCTGATCAATATAAACAAATATCTCTGCACTCCCTCACAACTCCTCAGATTGTTTCGGTGATATATCTAACGCAATGATAAAGTTGATGAGGGTGTGGGAAAATAACAGAAGGTTGGCGAGGAGGATTATAAACACGTTCAAGTGACCTGCATCTTGAGGTGCAGAAAAAGACATGTATCGTACTAATTGCTGTTTAGCCTTTTGTGTTGGACAAGTAGAACATCTGTTTCAATTACATAGGCCTGTGATAGAGGTACCCTATTGAACATGCTTGAGATTCCTGCCCTGCTGTGGGAAAGATCAAAGCACGGGGGTAAACTACACCTGCACGAATCCCTGAAATACCAGCAAAACCAGCAGGTTCAATGATCCTCGAGCATGGACCAAGCTCCGCGGTGCCTGCATCCTCGCTTGTAAGCCTCTGCCCAGGTGCTGCTTCGGGGGTCCCCCCGGTTCCCTAATATCTGCCGCGGTATTAGGGCAGGTTTGGCACTGAGCAAACAAAACCTCTCAGTTCACAAACACATCTCAACCCCATCCGCAAAGGAGCAGTTCTGGGGGAAAGGACACCTAGATATCTAGCCCATCCACCCCTCAGTCTTAAATGTTTTCTGTGTAAGATCATGACACAGTGCCAACCATTAAACATTTTTTTCCCATTAAGTGGACACCCATTAAGTGGAAATTCCATCATTGCCATTCACTTTTGGTATTAAGTGGCTTGCACTTGGAAATTACTATTACAAATTGTCAAATTATGTCCCTCTTTTTATTTCAGCAGAAAGTTGGGTTTTTGGTTAAACATATTTAAAAAATTTCCAGTCGAGGGGTGGGGGTTAGTGAGAACCAGAGACACACACTGCTTGAACCTATTTTTCAGCCAGCCTCCTCGAGGTGATAGCGAGGTGGCTATCACCCATAATTGGACTTAAGAGTTTCCATATGCCCAGTTAAGAATCCCTCGAGTTTTTTCAGTCTCCTCAACTCAACCAGTTTGACTTCAGAATTAATTGACATTGATTTAGGAGTTGGTTTTCCAAGGTGTTGAACACATGCCATCGATTTTAGCTGAAATTCTGAGTACTCAGCCTTTCTCAATATCAGATCCTTCCTGTTCAAAAGAACGAAAAGCAGATTTGAAGTTTATTAAAGCCAGATCC